AATGTATAATTATGTAAGTGGCTTACATTGTATTTCTGCTACACACTACTGGGCCTGGCAGTGAGGATTGAAGCAGGTTAAACATCATGGTTTGTAAAATTCTACATTCAGTTATAAAACCAAATGTCAATATATAACCAAATGGTTTTTCTATAAAGTAGCATATTGATAACCATATGAATCCTAAACCCTATATTACATTAAAAATGATCAAGAAATGGGGAAAAGGAAGGGTGTAACTATGATCAATGTCTGTTAGATTCCTTCTCTTAAGTAGATGGGCCTCAAAAATGCCATTTCTACCCTAACTTTGACAACTAGAGAAACACCACGTGTTCATGACTCTAAGATATGTATGTTTCACATCCTAATACATTCTGGAGAAGAATTTGATGTATGATGGATGGGTGGGGCTAGAAGTCCTGGAGGGAGTAGGGCAGCAGTGCTGGGTGTCAGGGAAGCCTGGGACATAGGACAGAAATATCAGTCAAAGAAAGCTGGAGAGAAGAAGGAAAATGACAAATGTCACCTCTTGGTCCTCTCACTGCCCTCCTCCCAGCCACCTGTCTAGCAGCTGAAAGCAGGGTCTAACTTGTCTCCAGCCCTGTTGCCAATAACAGGAAGTACTAGCTACAGAGGCCCAGCCCCTCCCTTCCAGCTCCAGAGTCACTGCCAGGTCCTGACTCATCCCTCCATTTAGTCCTGTCACAGTGAAAAGTTGGAAGAGAAGGGACACATCAGGTGCAGAGAATACAGGAGGAGAGGCCCTGATTAGGGAGGAGAGTGAGGGGAATGGAATGGGGACAGCGTCCATTTCTCACCTTCTCTCCCAAAGTTAAATTTGCTGCTGTATCCACCCCATCTCCCAGAGGGCCCAGGTCTCCACTGACCCCAGGCCAAGTAGGCAGCTGTGATCTAGGGGGAAAATATGGCAGTTCTTCCAGCAGCTCCAGCAGGACAAATGTTGAGTCTCACCATAGCCAGAGCTGTAACTCACCCTTTCCTATCTGAGTTGACTACAAGGACAAAGACAGAGCACCCCTTCACATTTGAACAGAAGGTGTCAGTCTTCCTCCATATGGTGCTGTCTGCCAAATTTGTCCCCCTGCACCCGTTGGGGGCACTTGGTCAGAGATGAATGTGAATTCCTCTCCTGCCATCCTGGGCCCAATGAATCCATTGGAAGTTATTTTGAGGGGCCATAGCCCGGGCAGTGCCTGAAAGTGACTATAATGTGTATTATGCACTTTGAAATTGTGTGTATTTTGTTTTTAAATAAATGTTACTGTGTATATTTGAGGTTTGCAATATGATGCTATGGGATGCAGATACATAGATCCATAAGGACAGTACAACAGTGAAGCAGATTAACATAGTATCTATCCTCTCACATAGTTACCTTTTTGTTGTTACAGGAGCAGCTAAAATCTACTTATTTAGGGAAACTCTCTAATACAATACAGTTTTGTTAACTTTAGTCCTCACATTGCACATTAGCTCCCTAGACTTGTCCATCTTACGTATCTGCTATTTTGTATCCTTTGACTTATGCCTCCCAATTCCTTTCTTCACAACTTCCACTCCTGGGAACCACTATTTCATTCTGAGCCTGTGTACTTAAGCTCTTTTTAAAAGCTCTTCTAGGCTGGGTGTGGTGGCTCATGCCTGTAATCCTAGCACTCTGGGAGGCTGAGGTGGGCAGATCTCTAGAGGTCAGGAGTTTGAAACCAGCCTGAGCGAGAGCAAGACCCCGTCTCTACTATAAATAGAAAGAAATTGGCCAACTAATATATATGGAAAAAATTAGCCAGGCATGGTGGCATGTGCCTCTAGTCCCAGCTACTCAGGAGGCTGAGGCAGGAGGATTGCTTGAGCCCAGGAGTTTGAGGTTGCTGTGAGCTAGGCTGATGCCACGGCACTCACTCTAGCCTGGGCAACAAAGCGAGACTCCGTCTCAAAAAAAAAAAATAAATAAACAAATAAATAAATAAATAAAAGCTCTTCTACACATAAGTGAGATCATGCAATATTTTTCTTTCTGTGTCTTAAGCAAAGCTATCCTTCCAAAATGAAGGAGAAATAAAGTTTTTCCCAGACAAGCAAAAGGTGAGGGAGTTTATCACCACTAGACTGGCCTTAAATGTGTATGTTAAAACCTGGCTTGTCAGCTTGCCTGTATTTTAACTTATAGAGGTGGCATTTTAATATTTTATTCCACAAAGACGTATCGAGCACCAGATGTGTCTCTGGCACATGTTACCTATGTGTCTTTTTCCTTCACTTCCATCTTTGCACCAAAAGCTTCTGGGCCCACCTCTACCCACCAGGTGCCCCGTGTGGATTGCACACAGCTCCATCAGCTGGGGAGGAGGATTCAGGAAAGGGAAACTGCCTTGTCTGTCTGATACATACACATATGGGAAGAATTATAGTTCTGGGAAACTGTAAAGCAAGGTAAACATGTGCATGTTTCTAATGACAGGCAGGGACAGATTTCTTCGATTCACTAGGTCAACTGAGAAAGTCTTAACTATTTTGAGCAGAGAAATGCTAACAGGAGATTATGTTAAGAGGCATATGGAGTAAGATGTTAGGTTTGGGGTGTCTGTGTATATGTTTGAGGGGTTGGGATACTTAAGAAGGGACACCTGGGCACAAGGGGAAGGGGAGCACAGATGTGGAGGATAGACCCAGTCGTCTGGGTGACAGTGCACACAGCCTTACTGAGGAGCCCTGGTGCCCTCCTCCAGCCCCACCTGGCTCTTCCTGCTCTGCCATGCTCTGCCACAGACGGAATGCACCTTTCGTCCCTTCACTTGTAAAAAGGGAAAACTTCACTTTATTTTACTATGAATTTATCTACACTCTCCAAATTTGAAAGACCTGGAAAAGCATCACCATACCTATAGAAAACCATTGTTCAGGTTTGGAGAGAGTTTTGATTGTTATTTCTTTTCTGTGTGTGGTCGACATTTTTACATGGAAATCCATGTTTATCTTAAATTTTTCACTTGAGTAGCATATGAAAATCCTTTTCCCATGATGTTACGTAGTCTTGATAAATAATTTTTTAAATGGTTTTATATATTTTTTTTTTTTTTGAGACAGAGTCTCACTTTGTTGCCCAGGCTAGAATGAGTACCATGGCATCAGCCTAGCTCACAGCAACCTCAAACTCCTGGGCTCAAGCGATCCTTCTGCCTCAGCTTCCCAAGTGGCTGGGACTACAGGCATGCGCCACCACGCCCGGCTAATTTTTTCTATATATATTAGTTGGCCAATTAATTTCTTTCTATTTATAGTAGAGACGGGGTCTCGCTCTTGCTCAGGCTGGTTTCGAACTCCTGACCTCGAGCAATCCGCCCGCCTCGGCCTCCCAGAGAGCTAGGATTACAGGCGTGAGCCACCGCGCCCGGCCTGGTTTTATATTTTTAGAGGGACTTGTTACCTGGGTTTCCTTAATTCCTTATTCCCTAAGTATGATTTGGTTTCAAACGTTTCCTTTTTTACGAATAATGCACACATCCTGCTATCCAGCTATCATTCACCAAGAGAAGGTGAGGATTGAAGAGAAGATGGAGGAGACGACGGAAGAAGATGGAGGAGGCGGAGGGCGGGGAGGAAGGGAGGAGGGCTGCTCCTTCCCGTGGCGAACCGGTCCTGGCAGCGACACAACCCTGCCCGCGGGCTGCGGGGGCCCCGCCCTCACACTGCAGACTGCGTGGTGCCGCAGTGGCGCTTGGCATTGGCCTCAGGCGGTCTCTGGCGCCCCCTGCCGTTCCCACCGCAAAGCTGGGCCGAGCCAGCAGCTACTCAGTTCCCTCTCCCTTCTCCGCCTCCTCCTCCATTTTGCTTCTCCACAGCCTTTGCCACGCCCCTCCATCCCCTGCTCCTCTCCACTCCTCCGCGTGTTAATTTAAGGGTCCGAGCCTGAAGAGCCCCTTGTGGCACCAGCTGCCGTCTTTAGGCCCCCGGCAATCAGCAGGCCGAGGGGCCCCGGGCTCCAGGCTCCTCCCGGAGCTGCGGTGGGAGAAGGGGCTAATCTTGAGCCCCCGCCCCAACTCTCCTAGGCCCAGAGCTCCTCGCGGTGGTTCTGGGTCTCTCACTCTCTGTGGTCCCGGGAGGAGGTGCCAGAAACGACTGAACCTGGGTGCAATTGGGGGACCGCACAGCGGCCCCCAGTCCCCTCCTAGGGGCAGAGAAAGAGGGATGTGAGGGCCAGAGGCCTCGGGTCTCCGGGGCTGGGGACCTGGCACTCCCTGGCCCAGGACCCTGAAAATGTCCGAGGGTGGCACCTTGAGACAAGGGGATAACTGTTCAGGAGTGGGTGGAGGGGCTTGTGGGGGACAGGAGGCAGCCACCGCCCTGCATCCTTTGCACCCTTTGCAGATCTCCAGAGCTCGGGCTGCCAGGGATCGAACCCCCACTTACCCACCCTCCGTACTCAGAATAACCTCAAATCCAAACCAGGCTCCTGGCAGTAGGGCCTTCTCTTGGTCCAACTACCAGGCTGAGTGAATCCACGCGGGGCCAGGAGGGACCTCAGTGACCCTCCACAAACCCTGTATCAAGTCACCCCAAGTGGGATCCAATTAACATTCCGTCTCACCCGGAATCGCCACTTGCCATGCTTCTGCCTGCCTCTGTTTGCTTGGACCGGGCTATCTACCCTGCAGTCCCAGACCAGGGACTGGATCACTGACCCAAGTCTCCAGGAATAGTTTCCCAGCAGAAGATGACCCCCAGCCCCCTAGCAGCCAGACATGAGGGTTGATTCCAGAACCCACCCAACTCCTGCCCCAGGGACCCCACAGACTTCACAAGCAGAGCCAATTCCCTGGGAGGGTTTCCTGGAAGAGGAGGAGAATGAACACTGGAGCCCAGTGATTTCAGCCGGGCCACCGATTCATTCACAAAGCTTACATCTTGGAGTTTAGACACATAACTGAAACTTACGAAGTCTCAAGATGCACGCATATTTTTCCATTTATTCTCCTAGCCACACATTTGACCAAGTACAGTCACCCCTCGGTATCTGTGGAGGATTGGTTCCAGGGCCTCCATGAATACCAAAATCTGCTGATGCTCAAGTCCCCAATATAAAATGGCATAGTATTTGCATATAACCTACACACAACCCCCCTTATACTCCAAATCAACTCTAGAGAACTTACAGTACCTGATACACTGTGAATGCTATGTAAATAGTTGTTATACTGTATCATTTTATTTGTATTATTTTTATCGTTTTTCCCCCCAAATATTTCTGATCCTCTGTTGGTTGAACCTTTGGATGGGGAAGCAGAGCTAGCTGTATGTAGAGCTCCCCAGAGAATAGGAAGGCACTTGGGGTAGGAAGGAAGGAAGCTGACATTACAGCCAAATGCAGTGAGACACCTTGAGGGGCCTGTGGGAGGCATGTGCAGGGAAGCTGGGGGCACTGGGGTGGGCTGCTCAGTTCCATCAGAGAGGCAAGAGGGCACCAGAAAACGCTGCTGCCAAGTCACCTTAGAATTAAGCTGTGGGAGGTGAGAAGGGATTTGCCCAGTAGATGGGGAAAGGGCTGGGCTTTCTTGGCAAGGAAAGAAGGTGTGCAGTGACCCCAGGGTGTGTTCCAGCTGTCACATCCAAGGCTGCCTGGGAACAGAGGAAGTGGGCTAGGGGGCAGTATCTGGAACGTGGCCATATCACGAGGAGTAGAGGAAATGTTTAGTCAGACTGGTGTTTGGGAAGGTTGACCACTGGCAGTCCGGAGGGGGCACCTCGGGTGGCAGCAAGATATGGGCTGGGTTAAGGAGTGACATCAGTCTGCTGTTGGGGTCCTGAAATAGACACGGATGATGTTTCTGCCTTCTGAGGACTGTTTTTCACCAAGTTCCCCCCCCACCTCAGTGCAACGCAATGACAATTTAAAAATACTCCAATGCTCCGGGAATCTGAGGATGAGTCACTCCTTAGGATTTCTGCGGAAGTATTTGACTCAAGCCATTTGTGAGTCAAGTTGGTGTTCTTTCTTTAGAGATTTCTTCTCCTTGGAGAGGCTGATGACTACCCAGAGTTCTTCCTGCCGTTTTGGGGGTCTCATCTGGTCAGTGACCCCAATCTCTCTAGCTTGACATTATTGCTGAGTGGAGAGTGTCTGTCTTTTCCCCTGTCTCAGGTCCCAGGCAGGACCTGGGTAACTGAGGGGCCGGGGCTGGAGCATGCCAGGCCCAAGGAGCATGTTGGCACCTCGAGAGTTCCTGTGTTTCCTCAGAATCCAAGGTACTGATGCTTCTTGTCATGAGGTAGAGCCCAACCTCCTTAAAAGTGACTTCGTTCCTACACATGTTTAACCAATCTCAAGGGGGACAGCAAGGTGTAGAGGAGGGAGTAATAGCAGGACTGAAGCCACCCAAGACCTCCCTCACGGCCTTTGACCCAACTATTAAGTGCTATGCCTGTCACCTGTTGGTATGCTTTGCTGCCATTTGTGCACTAAAGTTTGAAATGCTGTAACTTTGTCCATAAAGACAAAAGTCTGGAAGCAAAGAGAACAATTAGGAAATGAAAATCACAATTCAGGTGACAGGGGCTTGAATGAAGTCTTGAATGAAGGCTTGAATGAAGTCAGGAAGTGTGGGATGGCAGCTGCCTCACACTCCCTGACAGGCTTCTGGAGAATTTTCAGTTAGTTAACCTACAGAAAAGCAGCCAACATGGCACCAGGCACATAGGTGTCAAGTGCTAGGCTGCCACCCTCCCCACCCTGAGGCAAGCTCTGTCAGAAAGCGGGTGCATGGCTGTTCTTTGTGTGGATAAGCCAGGATGAAGGCCTCGTCCAAGTTCCTCAGAGATAGGATTGTCCAACCCCACTTGCCTGCCAGAGGCTCCTCTGTTGTAACTGCTCAGGGCCTTCCTGACCTCAGTTGGAGTGACCATAGCCTGGGCACAGGCTGCTACTTGGGGCCTTGTCCTTGCTCTCACTTGTGGAGAGTAAGCCTGAGGTTGGGCCAGTGTGGCAACATTAGCTTGCCTCCTTGTCCTTTCTCCTTGGTTCTTCCTCCTCACTACCCTCCCAACCATAAAGAAAGGTCCCCCTGCCCCCATCCTGCATAGGTTCCCTGCCTCACTGTCCAATGGAGAAGGATGCAGTAACATGTGTGATCCCAGCTCCAGGTACTGTCCTCATAGCTTGCAGACATGCCAGTCCCTCCCCACCCTGAGCTGGTGTCACACCAGCTCTCCAATAGTCACCTAGTCACCCTGAGCTCCTGCTGATCCTTTGCCTCCAGCTCCAGGGTCCTGCTGTCCCAGGCCTCAGTCCCGAGTCTGTCTTCTGGGGCTCTGGAATCACAAGGAAGGAACAGCAGACTTCTCTGTGCCTGAGGATCCCATGTCAGGATGGCCCAGGGTCAGGCCAGGACATGAACACTCCTGCTGCAGTCAGAGTAAGAGCTCCTTCACTTTTGTGTTTAAAAATTTCTGTTTTTCCATTTTTCCCTTTAGCTACGTGGCCACAGAAGAAGAATTATTGGGCTCAAGGGCATAACCCTCCTTAAGGTTTTTTATTCAGCTGCCAAATTTCTTTCCTAGTGAGTTGCTTTATACTCCAACCTGCAGTACAGTCCATCTTCAGCACTGAGCATCATTATTTCTAAATGAAATCAGCATTGAAAGAATAAGAATGAACCCACAGAAGAAAACACAGAGGAATTTTACAGACAGAAAGAGTAGCAGGAATCAAGGCCTGGGGACATGGACCTGCAGCCAGGCAATAAGGAGACCACAGGCAGATGAATGAAAAGGCTGGAGTGGGAAGGGAGGGGAAGATAGGATGGTTAGAAGGGGCCAGAATAAGAACATCCTTGAACTCTAGTTGAAGGAGTTTGGGCCACTTTTTGGAGATGAGGAAGAGCAATTGGATGGGTTTCAGCAGGAAAATGATATGGGAATATTTGTCTTGAGAATGGATTCTGGGGGCTGCAATATTGAGAGTGAATGGGAGAGGGATCCTGAACAGAAGGGTGTCTTGGTCTGCTCGGGCTGCCCTACATAGCAAAGTACCGCACACTGGAGGCTTCAACGACAGAAATGTATTGTCTCTCAGTTCTGGAGGCTGCAAGTTCAAGATCGAGGTGTCAGCAGGGTTAGTTATTTCTGGGGGCTGTGAGGGAGAATCTGTTCCATGTCTCTCAGCCAGAGCTGTTGGTTTGCTGGCAATCTTAGGCATTCCTTGGCTTGTAGAAGCATCACCCTGATCTCTGGCTTCATCTTTGCATGGCATCCTCCTTGTGTATGTGTGTGTCCAGAGTCCTGCTTTGTATAAAAACACCAGTCAGACTGGTTTAGGGCCCACACTACTAAGCTGATTTTAACTTGGTGACCTCTGTAACAACAGTATCTCTAAATAAGGTCATATTCTGAGGTACTGGAGATTAGGACTTCAACATATGAATGTGCGGGGGACACACATCAACCCATGACAAAGAGGAAGAATAGATTAGGAGCTTAGGACTTGAACTAGAGCCATGATGCGACAAACAAAAAAGAGAGACTAGAACAAAATGTATTTGAGGATGTAAAATCCACAAGTCTTGCTATTTCATGAAATGTGGGGGAAGGAGAGTTCAACTTCTAGGTTTGTGGTACCTCCATTTCAGAGTTATTTGAGTGTTAGTACAGAGGAGGAGGACAGGGGAGGGGAGTGGAGGGGATCAGACTGTAAGGTGACAAGATCATTCCAGATATATTGAACTTAAAATATCTCTGGGACATTCCCATAGGTCAAGCAGGAGAGGAGATTAGAGCCTGGAGACATATTTGATATTGAAAAGCATGTAGGCAGAAGTTGAAAACAATGAGCAAGGAGGTAATTGCCCAAGGAAATCAGGTAGAGAGAAGACAGAAGTTCAAGAACAGAAGGTGAGGGAACCCTCAGATATAAAGACTACTTAGTATCAGAACTTCACTTTTTAAAAATTCTAAAGGAGGAGCTACCTTCCATGGAAATGTTGGATCTGTGAGAACAAGGACTCTGTCTGATTGCTCACTGCTATGTACTCAGCTACCTAGAACAGTGCCTGGCACAGAGTAGCTGTTCTATAATTATTTGATGAATAAAATGTTGGGTTTTTTTTGGAGACAGAGTCTCACTCTGTTGCCTGGGCTAGAGTGCTGTGGTGTCAGCCTAGCTCACAGCAACCTCAACCTCCTGGGCTCAAGCTAGCCTCCAGCCTCAGCCTCCTGAGTAGCTGGGACTACAGGCATGTGCCACCATGCCCAGCTAATTTTTTCTATATATACTTAATTGTCCAGCTAATTTCTTTCTATTTTTTTTTTTTTAGTAGAGACAGGGTCTTGTTCTTGCTCAGGCTGGTCTCGAACTCCTGACCTTGAGGGATCCTCCCACCTCAGCCTCCCAGAGTGCTAGGATTATAGGCATGAGCCACCACACCCGGCCTAAATAAAATGTTGAATGAGCTACTTAAAGAGAGGTATATGTAAAATCAGGAGCTCAGTGTCCCAGAGGCCATGGGATTGATTCCTTTACCTCTCCTGTGCCTCACTTCAAAAATATCATTCTTCTGTGTTATTGACTTCAGTGACTTTAAAAAATGAACTATTTCTAAAAGGTTTTTAAACTTGGTTTGCAACATCATGATTAAAAACTTCAACAAAAAATATTTGTACATGGTGTTGGAACAGATGCTATAATCAACTAGATATTGTTCTTCAAATGCAATGTCTCACATATTAACTCACAAGAATGATCAGAGAAATAAAACTACTATATACCATTTGTAGATAAATGTTCACAGCAGTTTGTTTTTTTTTTGTTTTGTTTTGTTTTTTTTTTTTGAGACAGGATCTCTCTCAGTTGCCCAGGCTAGAATGCAATGGTGCAATCATAGCTCACTGCAATCTCAAACTCCTGGGCTCAAGCAACCCTTCTGCCTCAACCTCCCAAGAAGCTGGGACTACAGGTGTATACCACAACTGGCTTTTTTTTTTTTTTTTTTGTAGAGTTGGGGTCTTGCTATGTTTCACAGTCTGGTCTTGAACTCCAGGACCCAAGCGATCCTCTCATCTCGGTCTTTCAAGGTGCTAAGATTACAGGCATGAGCCACTGTGTCCCGTTGACAAAAGCCAATCTTAAAAGGCTACATACCTCCCTCATGTCATTTGATGTAAAAAAAAAAGAAGAAGAAGAAGAAAAAAAGGCTACATACCATATGACACCAACTATATAACATTCTGGAAAAGGCACAACTATGGGAACATTGAAAAGATCAGTGGTTGCCAGGGGTTTAGGGAAGGGAAGAATGAACAAGCAGAGTGCAGAGGATTTTTAGGGCAGTGCAACTACTCTGTATGATACTATAATGGTGAGGATATGTCATTATACATTTGTCCAAACCCATAGAATGTACAACACTAAGAGTGAACCCTAATGTACACTGTGGCTCTGGATGATAATGATGTGCCAATGTAGGTTCATCAGTTGTAACAAATGTACCACTCTGGGGGAGATGTTAATGGTGAGGGAGGCTGTGCATGTGTGGGGGAGGGGTATATGGGAAATCTCTGTACCTTCCTCTCAATTTTGCTGTGAACCTAAAACTACACTAAGAAGTAAATTCTATTTTAAAAATAGCATCTATAATAACAGCCAAAAATATGAGGATCTATAAATAAATCTGGGAAAAACTATGAAATAATTATAATCATTACTGTGGCCTGCACTACTCCAAGCACATTATGTTCATGTCTACTCCTCAAAGCAGTCCTATGAAATAAGTACTATTATTATCCCCAATTGGCAGATGAGTATACTGTGGCACTGACATGAAGGGACTTTCTCCTGATCAAACACCGGATTGGACTCACGCAGTTGTCCCTAGAGTCAACTTTTATTTTTATCTCCAGGCCAAATTATCCCTAAAGAAATTAAGAGTTATGTCACATTCATCCACCGGAAGAATCACTATCAGGTAAGATGTCAAGTCTCACCAAATGAATCTTAAATTCAATGCAATTTCAGGCAAAGTCTTTTACAAAGCTTTCCTGAGGAACTTCACAAGCTAACTTAAAAAATTTATTGAGAAATATAAGGGCCTAAGACAGTCTTTAAAAAGGATGAGATGGAGGAAATTGACTACAAGATTTCAAGTTGTTTGTTTGTTTGAGACAGGGTCTCTGTTGCCCAGGCTAGAGTGCCGTGGCGCCAGCCTAGCTCACAGCAACCTCAAACTCCTGGGCTCAAGTGGTCCTCCCGCCTCAGCCTCCCAAGTAGCTGGGACTATAAGTGCACAGCACCACACTCAGTTAATTTTTCTTATATTTTGTAGAGACTGGGTCTTGCTCTTGCTCAAACTGGGCTCAACCAATCCTTCTACCTCAGCCTCCCAGAGTGCTAGGATTACAGGCATGAGCCACTGCACCGAGCTCAAGATTTATTACAAAGATGTAGTAACCAAGGCAGAGTGATATTGTTCAAAGGAAATACAAACATCAAAGAAAGAAAAAGAAGAGTGCCTAGAAACAGACCTGTATGAGCCACTGTACTTATGATAGAGGTGGACAGCTGATCAGTGGGAAAGGATGGATATTTTCATAAACAGTTGGTACAACAAAGCATCCACATGAGAGAAAAATATAATCAGATTCCTACTCCACACTTTACATACAAATCAGGTCTGGGGGATTGAAACGTAAATGTGAGACCCAAAACTTAAAAAATAGGGCCGGGTGCGGTGGCTCACGCCTGTAATCCTAGCACTCTGGGAGGCCGAGGCAGGCAGATTGTTCAAGGTCAGGAGTTCGAAACCAGACTGAACAAGAGTGAGACCCCATCTCTACTAAAAATAAAAAGAAACTAATTGGCCAACTAAAAATATCTATACAAAAAATTAGCCGGGCATGATGACACATGCCTGTAGTCCCAGCTACTCGGGAGGCTGAGGCAGTAGGATCACTTGAGCCCAGGAGTTTGAGGTTACTGTGAGCTAGGCTGATGCCACAGCACTCTAGCCTGGGCAACACAATGAGAATCTGTCTCAAAAAAAAATAATAGAAGATATTTTAAGAGAATAGCTTTATAAACTCAGGATGGAAAAGAATTCCTTAAATTACATACAACTACACAAACTACACAGGAAAGAATTATTTGATTCTTTGATATTCAAGTTTAAAATGTTTGTTAATCAAAACATATCATTTTTCAAAAGTGACGAATACCACCCATGGAGTGTTATTTCAATGAAACCAAAAAAGGATTGATCTCTAGGAAATCTGTTGAGAGGAATAAGGCACAGTGCATGAGAATATAGATGCCAACACCATTTATATAAAGTTTAAATGCTTGCAGAAATACTAAGCTCAAGGATTCATACAAATTTAATAAAAGTGTAAAAAAGAAAAGGAATGCAGAGAAACAACTATGTCAGGGAAGTCTGTTCCTTGGAATGTGTCCCCTCACCCCAAGCAGACGTCCAGGGTGGGTGTCTAGGGTTCTCCTCTGAGTCAGATACTCAAAAACCTCCAGCCCAGGTGACTGTAGTTCCTTGGGGCTTCCATCACTGGTGGTCGGGGGGTGCCCAGGGAAGATGTGGAGTCATGTTGACCTCGTTGGGGGCAAAGAGGCCTCAATGACTCCAGCAGGTCCTTTGATCCTTCCCATCTTCCCCCAACCTCTCCCCACCTAACCTGTTGCATCTTCTGTGTGTCAAAGAAAAACTGGAGCTGGACAGTTGTTAAAGTGGTAAAAAAACAAAACAAAACAGATTTTATTCATGGCTGTTGCAATAGGAAGACAGAGACCTCAGTGTAGACCCCAGTGAGAATCTAAAGCCAGGGAGCATGGTGGGGGTCAGTGGCTAGAAAATCACTCAGAGGAAACATTGGGCGTAAGGGGGATTCTGGCTACATGGACCTAACAGGACTCTTGCTGAAGGCAGGACAGGGGGATCAGACATCACCTGTGGGGTGGTGCAGGGTGAGGAACCTGGTCAGATATTGCGTGGGATCAGATACAGAGGATGATCAGATACGGAGGACAGGGTGGTCTGGCCAAACTGACTTAGCAGAGTTCTTTGCGAAAACTGGATTTTGCAAACGAGTGCACAGATGGGCCTAACAGAAGGTTCAGGAGCCTGATTAAAGTTTGGTTAAGAGAAGAATGTTTGTCAGGGGCACCCTCTGCACACCCAGGGCACCTGGTGGGCAGCTGTTCTCATCCTGGCTTTGCCAAGAACCACAGATCCTCCAACTGGTGTCCTCATTCCCAAAATGCAGACACTGTATCTGGTGCCCAGATAGTGGCTGGCACTTTCTAAGCCTTCAGTACTTTCCCATTTATGAACTAAGAGATAAGGACTGACTGACCTGCCCCTGTTGCCAAGGGCAAAAATGCCAAGAGGGCAGCCAGAAGTGCCCTAGGGCCCTCTGAGCTGCAGGTGGCACCAAAGAGGGGGGCTCTGCCTGAGTCAGGGAGGGAATGGGGAGTCCTGGAAAGGAGGAACTTGGGTGATTGATAAACAGCCAGCCAAAACACTGGAAGAGACCTCGAGGCTGGGAGAGAAAGGGTGGCAGAGTGGCGAGACAGGGGAGGTGCTGGAGGGGGAGAACCTGGTGCTCAGGGCTGGAGTAAGGTGTGGGTGCGGGAAGAGGGGGTGTCTCTGCTGTTCCATGCCACACCCCTTAGGGCCCAACACTGTCAGTGACTTGACAGAGTGCAAGTGCGTGGCTGGGTGCAGCAGGAACACACCAACGGCGTGATCAGGTTCCTTGCTCATCCACAGAGCAAACTAAGGTGTGCATTGGTCCAGCTCTGAGATTTCTCAGGAACCCTCCAGCTATGTCTGCAGTTGGCCAAGTGTAAGCCGACCCCCAAAGGCAAGCTCATACTTTTTTTTTTTTTTTTGAGACAGAGTCTCGCTTTGTTGCCCAGGCTAGAGAGAGTGCCATAGTGTCAGCCTAGCTCATAGCAACCTCAAACTCCTGGGCTCAAGCGATCCTCCTGCCTCAGCCTCCCGAGTAGCTGGGACTACAGGCATGCACCACCATGCCTGGCTAATTTTTTCTATATATATTAGTTGGCCAATTAATTTCTTTCTATTTATAGTAGAGATGGGGTCTCACTCTTGCTCAGGCTGGTCTCGAACTCCTGGCCTCGATCAATCTGCCTGCCTCGGCCTCCCAGAGTGCTAGGATTACAGGCGTGAGCCACCTCGCCCGGCCAAGCCCATACTTTCTTAATGACCAAAGTCATCCTGGTGAGGACCTCAGGTGCTACAAAGAGGTGCCTTTGCTGTGACTGGAGTCACATCTAACCTTGTGTTTCACACACCTTCTCTTAGGAAAAGCTGAGTTTTGCAGCCAGAGGAGCACGAGGATGGTATCCGCTAGACCCATCATGGTTTCTAAATACCACTAAAGCTAGCACTCTGGGAGGCTGAAGCGGGCGGATTGCTGGAGGTCAGGAGTTTGAAACCAGCCTGAGCAAGAGCGAGACCCCATCTCTACTGTAAAATAGAAAGAAATTAATTGGCCAACTAATATATATGGAAAACATGAGCCGGGCATGGTGGCGCATGCCTGTAGTCCCAGCTACTTGGGAGGCTGAGGCAGGAGGATTGCTTGAGCCCAGGAGTTTGAGGTTACTGTGAGCTAGGCTGACGCCACAGCAGTCACTCTAGCCTGGGCAACAAAGCGAGACTCTGTCTCAAAATAGATAAATAAATAAATAAATAGATAGATAGATAGATAGATAGATAGATAGATAGATAGATAGATACCACTGAAGGATACAGGGCTCTTTGGAGAAATGGCTGATTCCAGGGCTGGGGCAGGGAAAGACAAGATGAGCCTGGAACATTTTGGGCCAGAAAGTAAGGAAGTGCTCAAAGAACAAAGAGGCCATGTCAAAATGATACAGGAACCTGCTGGAAGAGGCTTTCGCTGGGCCAAATATGAATAATTTGAGCACCAAAATAAGTAATAACAGGACTTCCAGTCCTGGCCAGAGTGAAGTAGTCTCATTCCTCCGGAGTCTTCCCTCTTACAGCTGGAGGCCGTGTACACAGCACAACAAACAAACATAGGAAGACTCTGGGGGGGGGGGCGGAAAGAAAGCGGACGCCTGGGGATCTCAGGGCTTGAGGAACGACATGGCGGTGAGTTACCTCAGCTCCCTCATTGCCTCCCATATATCCTGCAGGAGCTGCTTATCCGAAGCTGCCAACAGGCACAGACCAAAATAAAGGTCCAAGAAAAGCCTTTAGTCAAAGGTCTGGAAAAAGGGTAGCCTAACAACAGAAAACCTTTTGCATAATACCAGTCCTACGCTAGCCAAACAGCTATAGAAACACCAAACCCCACCCACCCTACTCCCATGGTTTCATCAGGGGAGCAGGGAGCTGATATTCTACACCACCCCACGCCCAGAGCAGAGCGTGTGAACCAGTGCTCCACCCCAGCGGGCATCAACAGACTAAACAAGGCAGCATGAGTCAGGTCTAATTGGGATTCCAGGCTCCCCTTG